TTATTCCTCTAAAACTTCCCAAAATGACGGAACTCATCGTTCCCACCAGCATTAGGATGATTATGAATAACCTGAGCAACAACCTGCAGAGTAGCAACAATAGCAACGTCATTTCTTCCCGCCATTTTATGTTTTTTACCAATAACAACAACAATGGTTAGAAGACAACATCGACAATATTCAACTGTCACACCACACCAACTTAATATCTTAGCCGGAAAGACCGACCTACTCTGATACCGCTATGTAACACCCTAAATATTCCTACATAAATGTAAATAAAATTATCAGAGTAATTCAAAATCACAAACATTTAGGATGCTACTTTCACCAAAAACCTGCTCATATGCTCAGATATGTAACACATAATATATTTAAAATTTATTAATAATAATAATAATTATAGTAATAACGACAATCAACCTGTTCAACTTCAACTTTAGTATAAATAGCAGCAAAAAACATCATCAACTATTAATGTTGATAATTCAAAACATAACATGATTTGTAGTATTTAAGAAATAGACAATAGATAAACATAGTAAAAATCCCCAAACATCATAGGACACAAAACGTTCCACCTGCGGTGTTACACATCAGAGCAGATGCTGATTCTATAAAAATAAAAGTAAGAACACCTTCTTCCACTCACATCCACGCTTCTACTGCAGATTATCTGCATGATTCTCATGTAAAGACAACATTCAAATAGAAGAGGTGGGATATCATAATTATATAAAGAAATTCATAATAATAAGTAAGCATAAGATTATTCATGCACAATCACCTATTCCACCAAATCACACTTCCATACAAACAAACACAATGAAAACACATATGCAATGCAATGAAACTCAACAACTTGACTCAATGCATGTGATATCAATACGTGAACTCTCAGGTTCACCACTCTGATCCTCACCTAGGATCAATGCCCACCAAAAATCGTCACCATAGGTAACACTTCACTAATTCCATCACCATAGGAATTAGCTACTCACACCCGATCTATCACAATGAGATCGAGACTCACCAAGAATATTGTTACCATCACCATATGTAACGCTTCACTAATTCTATCACCATATGAATTAACTACTTGCACCCAATCCCCATCATAGGATTGAAGCTCACCAAAAACGGACCACCGTCCAACACCATGAATGTATATAACATACTACATGCAATAATAACATCATGCACAATGACCTTCACCTCAGTCAATGTACTACGCCAATACCGACCACCATCTAACAAACACATGCTATAACATTCAGCAACAACAACACAACGATATAATAAGCAACAACAATCCATTTAAGAATATGTCACACCACAACATAAACACTACAATGCATTTAACACCATCACACACTAATTTATTCATTTTCAGCTACTGAAACCAATTTTTGCATAAAGTTCATCGCATTAGCTTCCTAACGCTTCGAACAACACTCGAATCAGACACCTGAACCTCAAGATATAATTCTTTGAAAATTTTCAAAATTTGTTCTCACTGTAGCCGGTTATACCAAATGAGGTAACCAGTTACACCCCTGTAACTAGCCCCTGCTACCCAATTCCTACTCAGTGTAACCGATTACCCCAATCTTGGTAACCGATTACACCCTCACAAAATTGCTCAAAAACACATTTTTTAATAGTGTAACTGGTTACCCCCTTTTTGGTAACTGATTACACCGGTACCAGAATCACTTTTCTGCTACTTTTTGACACGAAACTTACTTTTCTTCTTAACCTAAAATCCTTAACTCTCATACAATGCATATATTCATATTTTGGATTCCAACTCATATTCATCAGCATCAGCAACATTCTAACACATTCAAACAAACATATAATTGCATGATTCACACAAATCAATTTAAACACACAACTTTTCAACATACTCATACAACTGCAGGTTCCTAACATATGAGAATCACAATTCTAACATAGCAATCACAATCCCCACCCACAGATTATTATACAATCCCTTATAAAATCAGAACCTCACCCTTACCTTAGAGTTCTTGCAAGGTTCTTCAACAATGGACTTCTTCTCTTTCTCCTAGAGCCATAACTTCCACTCTTTTTTTTTTCTTTCTCATTTTTCTCTAGTTTCACGATCTGACAATTTCTATCCCTCTCCCTTATTTCTTTATTTTAATATATTATCCTTAATTCCAATTACACCATATTTTAATAAAATAATTATCTAATCTTTAGTGTTACATTACTATAATAACTAAATAATTTTTAAATTATTATCATCCTTATTATTTTATTTGAATAGATCTAATTTAATAATAATGGTAATGACACTCTCCCACCACCCAAGTCTCTACACTTTCACTCAAACACCCGCAACACCTTAAATTATATTCTTAAAGCCACTACCCCACACCAAAAGGGTATCCCCAACATACCAAAACACCAATCAACACATACAATTACACAACATCACATAATTTAATTACGAAAAATTAATTAATTAAACTGGGGCGTTACAACACCCCCCCACTAGGGGTGTTCAAATAAACCAGTTATTTAAATAATCCATATCCATATCCAAATCCGGTTATTAAAAACCGGTTAATTATTAGTATAGTTTTAACCAAATTCACATTTTGAATATATTTTTAATATGGTTTTAACCAAATCCATAATTTGGACATCCATATCCAAAATAAAAACCAAATTAGTCAATTTTTTTTAATTAAAAAAAAACTTTGAAATTTTTTTTCAAAAAAAAGATATTTTTATTTTGAAAAAAAAATTAATTTTTTTGAAAAAAAATATTGTTTTAATTTTTTTCGGTAAATAAAAATCTTATGAATTTTAAAATAACTATTGTTTAAAATTCATAACCAAAAATTATGATTTTGAATATTATGATTTTGAAATTTATAATTTTTAAATTCATAATATTGTTAAAATAACAATAGTAATTAAAATTCTAATTTACTCTGTCCTTCTTTATTTAAATTAGTCCTCCCGTTCACACAAACTAAATGACTACAAAAAGAAAAAATATCATATCTACAATCAAAATAGACTTGTCGTTTAATTCAATCAATACAAATTTAGATCATATTTTTTTATTTTATTTTTTAGTTTTTAACCATCTCAAATAAGAATTTTAATTTAATCAAATAACTGTTCAAACGACAACAACCGTTTATTTTTTTATTGTAATTTATATACAAAAATCATATTTAAATATTAAATAATTATCATTTTTTAATAACACATATTTCTAATTACAAATCAACGAATTATATAGGAAATAAAAAATAGATAGATTGGAGTAACGGTAACCAATACTATTATTTAATTGTTAAATTGATTTAATAAATTTAAAATATAAAACTAAACTGATATTTTTTTAATATGGAGATGAATTAGATGAAATGATATATATTAATAGTTAAATTGAATCCATTCAATTAACTAACTTTTCATTTAATAACGAAGGAATTAAATGAACTTTTCATTCATGAATTTTAACAATAGTAATATGATTTTGAATATTTAGAGACCAAAAATTATGAATTTAAAAAAAAACAATAGTTATTTTAACAATATTATGATTTTGAAAAAATCAATTTTAAAATAAAATTAAATCAAACTAATTATAAAATTGGTTATGGATATAACCGGTTAATAACCGGTTGTAATATATGGATTATTTATGGTTATAGATTGATTTTGGACATTAACCATCCATGACCACCCCTACCCCCACTTAGAATATTTTCGTCATCGAAAATTTACCTGATGCGAACAACTCTAGATATAACTCTCGCATCCTACTCTCGAGCTCCCATGTCAAATTTCCTCCGGCAACGCCTCCCCACACTACATTCACGAGAGTAATCTCCTTACCTCTCAACTGCTTCAATTCACGATCATCAATCCATACAGGTAAGACCTCAACTGCAAGGTTATCCCTCACCTGTACATCATGTATTGAAATCACATGCAACGAATTCAGAACATACTTCTAAAGTTGTGAAACATGGAATACATTATGTAAATTCGAGAAATTTGGTGGCAATGCAACTCTATAAGCAACAACTCCAACTCTTTCTGATATCTGATATAGACCAATAAATCAAGGAGTAAGTTTCCTCAACTTCAAAGCACGCCCAACGCAGGTCATCGAAGTGACTCTTAAGAAAATATGGTCTCCGTTTTGGAACTCAAGATCCTTCCTCCTCTTATCATAGTAACTCTTCTGCCTACTCTATTTATCTCTAAAGAAATATATAATGTAAAATGAGATACTAAACTTAGTGGATTTTTAAACTAGAACCACCAATCATCTCATTAAATACCCATCTGAATCAAAATATAATTTATATTAACCAATAGAATAACTTTTATACCATAAAACCTACGTAATTAAGGTTATCTAGGAAAATATAATGACAACTATATAACTCTTACATACCTCGTAGGATCTTAACCATGTAGGTCTTCTATAATCAAATATAGTATCTGAATCTTGTCAACCTTACTATAACTCATGAGATTTAAATCTATATATTCAAACATACAACATAAATTACATATATTGTGACATGTCCTTCAATACTTAATCTTTTATCAAACACATAATATATTCAAAATTTTCAAAAAGAGGTTCCATGAATCTTGTTATCTGATGAGATTTCCATTAATCAACACTCCTTATGAATCTTATTATCTCTAAGTTTTTTCATTTTTTATAATTATTTTAAAAATATATATTACTATTTTTTCATAAGATATAATTTTTTTAACATATTACTAATTCTTACATAAAAAAATATAACAAAAATAAACTGCAGTCTGCAGGTCCTCAGATATTTTTCCGGGTTAACACGTCATCAGCAACCATAGATCCGATACAATCGAATTTCATCACCGACCCGGTTTTCTCAAAACCCTAATTTACAAAAAAAAATCTTCACCTTTTTTCTGTTTCGAAAAACCCTGAAACTCTTGCTCCCACTATGGCCATGGGTGGAAAGCGGAAGAGGAACCAGGATTCCGATGGAGAAGAAGATTCTTCCAAGCGAAAAATCAAAACCGAGACGAAGGAGCCATTCCGTCCTTCCATGATCAAAAACAAGGAGAAGAGATCCGAAGTTCATGCTAAGCTTAAGCATCAGAAAAAGCTCGAAAAACGCGCTAAATCCAAGGCCCGCGATGCTGCTGTCAAGAGAGCTATCGAGCTCGGCGAGGAGGTCACTCTCGTTCTCCTTCTCTTGACAAATTGAATTGCCATGGTTGCTGCTGTTGATTGAATTTTTGTTTTTTTTGTGTTATTATAGCTTCCAGAGAAGAAGGTCCCTCGTACGATTGAGAATACAAGGGAAGTAGATGAGACTGTTTGCAAGCCTGATGATGAAGAGGTTTTGATTTTTTAAAACTTTGATTATTATTATGACCTAAATTTTGTGTGAATTTAACTCTTGATATGATTGGATTTCAATGGTGTGATTGTAGATTATGTATGTTGGTTACTGGTATGTTCAATTATTAATTTTTTTTTCAATAGTTATGCCATCACTTTATACTCTAAAGTGCACCCGTCACTATAAGCTTAAAGGAATTGACTCTAGATTATCGTGTAAACTATGGAGTCCGCAAATGAAATAAAAATAATTTTGGGTGGACAACTAGTTTTTGAGGCTTGCCTTTCATTTAGTATTTGAATGGAATTGCTTATTGTAATCTAGTTGATTTTCTTCTTTCTAAAATGAGTTATGTCGACTAATAGATCATATTTGTTTGCAGCTATTTGCTGGAAATGATGCTGATGAATTCAGTTCAATTTTAAATCGGCAACATAATCCCAAGATATTAGTCACCACTTGCCGCTTCAATTCTACTGTATGTATCCTCAATTCTGTTATTTATGTTCTCAAGCCCAAATGTGTAAAATATATTTGAAAAGCATATCCTTTCCTCCCCGATTTGTTTGGTTTCCTGTTTCACACTTTTAGGAGTAGAGTCGAATCGGGGAAATTATGTCTTCTTTTATATACTTAACATTTTTCTATCTTTCTGGTGAAATATGACTTGATGTGCAGAGGGCTCCTGCTTTTATATCAGAATTGCTTCAGATTATACCAAATGCACATTACTTCAAGAGAGGAACCTATGATTTAAAAAAGGTGATGTGTGTCTCACTATCTCTTCACCGTGTGGCTAAAAAGCATATTGATTACATTTTCAATTGCAGATTGTAGAATATGCAAATAAAAAGGACTTCACATCTATTGTAGTTGTACACACCAATCGCAGGGAACCAAGTAGGTGGTGCTTTTGAGTAAATATCCTACACATGTTGATCTTATATTTTAAAGATTGTTGACAAAATTTACATATTTTAATTCTTTGCTCCTATTTTTTAGATGCTCTCATAATTATAGGCTTACCTGATGGACCTACTGCTCATTTCAAACTCACAAATCTTGTTTTACGCAAGGATATTAAGGTTCGATATTTGTTGTTTATGAATTTAAGTATTTAACAATAGTATAGAAATACTTCTGGTTTCCTCATTGATGTTGGTGTATATTAATCTACATAATTTGATGTAAATGAACGTAAAACATTCACTTCGAGTGTTCCTATATTTTTGCTTTTTTTTTTCTACAACCGAACAAAATGAGTTCCTATAAGTCTGCACCTCGTGTTACCTATTTGATGAATCCACTTTTTGATTAAACCTTGTTTATCTTGAAAGATTGATAGATGAGTTTACTTGTTTTGAGATTATGTTAATGAAAATGATAGATTTAATTTTTTAAAACTATCTATGCATTTTGATAACCGCTTGCAGAATCATGGAACCCCAACTAGTCACCGGCCTGAGCTTGTTTTGAACAACTTCACAACACGTCTAGGTCATCGAGTTGGAAGGTTACTCTTTTCTCTTATTTTTTATCTCATTTGTTGTTAAACATTTATCTGTTACTTGCATTTTTTTCAAACAATTTGTGATATGCCCATGCTAGGTTTGACTGAAATAGTTCTGCCTGTAAGTTATTTTTTAAGTAGTAAGTAATATCAAGGAAAGAAACAAGCACAATTAAATTTAAAAAAGAAAGAAACGAGTTCCAGTCTAGCATTGCCTTTCTTATATTGCTAATATAATTTTTCATTAACAAATATCTTCTATGGTTCTCAGTTTTTCTATGTAATGATGGGTTTGTGTAAGCTTTTACCTGTCCTTTAACTCTCCTTATTTGTTGATTTTGTTTCTATAGAATGATTCAGTCCCTTTTTCCGCAAGATCCTGAGTTTAAAGGCCGACGTGTAGTCACATTCCACAACCAGAGGGACTTCGTATTCTTCCGGCATCATCGGTACCATTCTTTCAGTCTATTATATTTCCGTTTGTTTCAAATTATTGGTGGTTTTTCATATCTTTTGTCCAACCATATGCTTAGGTATATTTTCGAAAAAAAAGAAATTAAAAAGATCGAGTCTAAAGGTAAAAAGGATGAGGATGGCGAGGCTGAGAAAGTTCCTGACCATAAAACAATTGCCCGACTTCAGGTTAGTGTCAATTTCTTTTTGCGATAGTGTCAATATCTTTTTGCAAATTGTTTACCCACCATTTCAAAATTCAAGTCCATCGGCTAGTGAATATAAATTAAATTTGTTTATGATTTTTGTTTCATTATACTCTCTCTGCTATTTTTCAATTTCGTTGCTTTTCGGGTGTCTGAATGGGTGTAATATTAGTGGCGGCATGGCACCTGAAAGTAGGACCAGTCTCATACAGGGTGTATTAGTTTATGGGTCTGGTAGTTCAGATAGTCAACTTTTGTAATTTAGGGTAATATTGTTATAACTCGTGTCTAAAGTAGATAATAGAAGATAGGAAAGGTTCAAGATAGAATTATTCTTGAATTGATAGCAATGCACTGCATACCTCTGGCGAGCACACTGGTACTTGCCTACATGGTGGCCAGAGGTATGCAGTGCATTGCTATCTTGAGCACCCGCGAACTCCCGAATACCACAACTCTCCAAACTGAATGTTTTCTAATATCACCGTCTTTTATAAACCCATTTCCAGCCTTCTCTTGGTTAGTTATTTAGTTTTAAATTCTTTCCCTGTTTTGCTTTGCTCCTCTGCCCCTTCTCAATTACACTTGATTAGTAAGATGTTTTCTAACTAACTATACACTCCTCAACTACACTTGATTAGTAAGATGTTTTCTAACTAACTATACATTCCTCAAAAGAGCCACCTTGTCCTCAAGTTGAAAGGATGGGTCTACTGTGACAAATATGTTACTGCATGAAAAGTATAATTAAATTAAGGATGGGTATACTATGAATTTGCATTCACCTTCACTGATCAATGTTTCTAATCTTTACCAGATTTAAGTATTCTTCTACCTGATTCTTTTCTATATTTATTATCATCATCTCCAAAATAGTCCCTGCAATAACTTAATTATAAAAATGCAGGAATGTGGTCCTCGTTTCACCTTGAAATTAGTTAGCTTGCAGCATGGAACATTTGACACTAAAGGCGGAGAATATGAGTGGGTTCACAAGGTAATTTACTTGTTAGCCATTACTGCTGTTTCAATTCTTAGCTGACACGTGAAACATTCCTCGTGTATTCCTAATTGCTGAATGACACTTTGTTTTCTATCTCTTTCCTTTTTCTTTTAGCCGGAAATGGACACAAGTCGAAGGAGGTTCTTTCTGTGACCTTATCTTGGAACTTTGCATTTTGGATGGTATTTCCGCTGGAATAGGGTTAATCTGGTGAAGAGGGTTGGTTATGTTAAAGTTGTTCGAAACTTTGAAGATATTTCTAAAATATGCTGGTTATATTTTGTTCTTATTTTTGGACTGAATTACTACTCATCTTTGTACAATCAATTTTGACCGCAAATTTGTTGTATGTTAGTTGGAGGAAAGATAACGAATTCACACCATGATTATAACTAAAATTTAATATCATCATTTAAATTTCATTCCTGAAGTCTTCATTCTTTCGATTCACCGGATATTGGTGTTATTCTGAACGATTTTATTTCAATTTTAGTTCTACACACTTGTCAAACCCAATCCAGTCTATTATGAAAACCTGAGTCCACAGTATAGTTTACCACCCACCTTTTCACTGTTCTAGCTGGAGAAACTGCATGCAAAACTATATATTTTTCGAAACACTGGATAGCAAAGCTTTCTTTTGTTAATACTTCTGACTGGTTATAGTGACAATTTCATTAATTTCTGCCATTAATGGAAGGAGTGTTGAAAAAAAGTGTCAAACAGCGTTTAAAGCACTCATCTAGTTGTAATAATATGAAAGTGATAATTTTAAAGATGGTTTACTAAAAAATACGTGTTTTGTTTATGCTAAACCATATATAGATTTATTTTACAGATAATTTTTCATTTATTAAATAAATTAAATGATTAAATATGCCATCATATAAATATTATTCGGACGAACCTTTCATGTATTCATTTTGTACATGTGTTAATTTAAGTTGTGTCAATCAATTCTTTTAATAAATGAACGAGGAATGACACAACTTGGACTTTACCACACATATCTTTGGTAAGCTCCCACTGCAACAGTTAGGTCCACACGGATAACACATGCTTTAAAAAACTATGGAATAACAGAGATCTTGAACAAGTTCACTTCATCTTTTAGAGATATGTTTGCATCATTGATTAATGACTGATTGGTACATCAACCTTCTCTTCAATTTTGGGACACCACTTAGGCATATATAATTTATCAATTTGCTCCTCTCATGTCTTTCGATAGTAAATGATAAGTCACAAAAATTTCTGGTTTCTTAATAGCATCAAGAGAAATGGTTCAAACCATGATAAAAAAGAGAGACAGGCTCACCACTACAAATACCATAATGGAAATTTTCATAAAAATCATCTAATAATAGTAGTATGCGTGGGGTAGGAACGAGTTTGATGAGTCTGCAAACTTTTAACACAACTGACCAAAATTAATATTATTAAATTGAAACAATTAATCAGGAATATATATATCCCTCACTGTGAACCAACAAAAAATGAAAGAAGGAAGTTCACAAAAAATGAAAGAAGGAAAGATAGGAAAACTCAACAAAAACTGCAAACTAAGACTCAGAAAACTCGTACAATCTAAAGAAAAAAGAGTAAAAATATAATCTAATGATGGAATCTATCCGTAGAATTAGAGGAGGGGCTATCTAATTCAAAAAAGTACAGAAAATAATATTGAAGGTAATAATGAGGGTTTGAGTTGAAACATAAAATTATTATTATTTGGTGAATTGTTGTTGAAGTAGTATGAAGCTAGTTATTTATTTAAAATTGGTGTATTGCACAAAGTATATGCTTCAAAAGCTTGAAATGGAGGCTGATAAAGTTTCTGAGTTGTGCAATTCAGCATGCAAGACTTATGGAAAAACAATGGCTGGTCTTAGAGTACTATTTTGTTTTATCTCAACCTTTTAATGAGTTACATAAAAAGGGAAACACATTTTTTTAATGAACTTGCCTCTTGTTTTCTTGTCATGCAATTGGTTATGACTTTGACTCTAATGACTTTCATAGATAATTTTCATTGAATTTTTCTGCATTATATTATTGACATACTATTTTGTGTGTTGAATAGTTCTTACAATATATTGAAATCGGACCCCATTCTCAATGAGATTTCGCAATAAAAAATAGCCAGTTAAATGGAACTTGCAAATCTAATAAAGATCAATCTCTTAATGAATACTTCTTTCCCGTGAAAGCTTGAAATTCTTGGGTTTTTCTCTTCTCCTTAAGTGACTCTTGGCTTTCACTTTTTGCATTTGATCCAAAAACAAGCTTTCCAGAAGTTTTAACGAAACTCTTGGTTTTATTTTCAGTTTGTTGCTGCTTTAGAATTGGAGTGGAGCTTGGTTCAACTGCCTGTGTCGCCGGTTTCCCATCCAAACGCCGTGCCGAGCCACTGAACGGAATCACTTGAGGAGTCTTTGTTGCTGCCTCTTGTTCAACTGAAATGCAAAATAGTCAAAATCAGAACAAAGACAAATTCTTTAAACATGTTCCAAAAAGAAAACAAAAGAATCCAAAGTTTCCTTATCAGACAAACCAGATGGCAAAAATTTCTCAGGTTGTTTGTAATCAAGAGGTGCGGCAAAATCAACTTCACAGTCTGTTTCAATTATAGAAATTGCGCGAGAAGGTTTCGTTTCAACCACATCAATGTAATACTTCTGGTTGTTATAAGGAATCATTATAGTGTGGCCGGTTGTTAAACACGAATAACTCCTCAACGAAGTTTCTAACCTGAAAATGATCAGGTATTAGTTTACTGACACAAATACAATACTTAAAAAACACCTATTATCATTCATACATGGCTTTTGGATTCAAGATATCTAGAAAATCTTTGGAGTGAGGCTGCAGTTTCACAAACATTCCTTTGACAAGACTTGTGTTTTTCAGTGATACAATGTCTCCATTCTGTAGAAGCATATCTTCCATCATCTGAAAATTACATCGCATCTTATGTAAATAAAAATGGTTACTCAATATGAACAACGAAAGGAAAACATATATAGTTATATACCCAATTTGGTAAGGACACAGTCCCTTCGTCAGCTGTGAATTCTAAAACTCCGCAGTGAGTAGTTCTATCGGTAGAAGAATTTCTCAGTTCAAATAGCATTGGATATTCTATGTTCATACTTGCTGCAAGATTTTAACAAGAATATGAGTATGAATTTAGAACAAGAGTAAAAATAATCAACTTGAATGACAAATATATAAAGCTTACCGAGTCGATCTAGAGCTGAAGCAGGCATGATAACTGAAAGACAAAAGAATTTGCGTTAGATATAGAAATTATCACAATGTCTGGTACCAAAGTAAGATGATAGTGCACTTACTTTTATCACCGTATTCCAGAATTGGCTGCAAAAAATCAGAAAAGGAAGAATCAGTATTATTCAAGAAGGATGATTGATACTCATATTTTGGACTAAATATGTGATGACATACCCTATCAAGAGATGAGACCGAAAAACAACAGTAAGCATGCTCAAAAGTTGCATTTTGCCCATAATCATTCTGCTGCAGATGAATATCCTCGTTCGACCGATTTAGATGCACATTCTGACGCAGATTCCTCGGATACTCAAGAATATCCTCCTCAGCAAACTCACCTAGATCCTCATAAAAACCCTCAACCGACTCAGAATCATATTCATCTGAGTCATTACTTATTTGATCTTCAGACAAATTGTTTTCCTCTTGCAAATCCTCATTCAACTGATTTTCATCCGAATTCTACATTAAAGAACTCAGCATTAATATATAGTCTGAATTAAGAACATAAAAACTAAAATAAAAAAGACAAATAACATACCATATTGAGCTGAGAATAGATGATAATCGATTAACTGCAAAAGTAAAACAACTCTAAGCAAAAAAACCACCGAGTATTGTTAAGGGAAGAAAGTCCAATGCTTTGAAGAAAATTTCTCGTCTCAGAAACAAATAGAGGTTTTAATAAGATTAAGGTTTTTACTAGTTTATATAATGGCATGTGAAAGGTCAAACAATCATAATTTTAGACCTTAAAAGTCTTAAATTTGTTACAATCATAATTTTAGGCCTTAAAAGTCTTAAATTTGTTACAATCATATTTAAATATAATATTTATTTTTTTAATTTATTAATTTTTAGGCCTTAAAAGTCTTAAATTTGTTACAATCATAATTTTAGGTGTTAAAAGTCTTAAATTTGTTACAATCATATTTAAATATAATATTTATTTTTAATTTATTGATTTTAATTATTATTTTATTAATGGAAATATCATTGTTTTATTTATTTTATAAATATAATTTATAACATTATATTTTTCAAATGAATCCTAAATTTTATAATATAAATATTAGATTAAAAACATATTAAATATGTTATATATTAAATTTGTCATTGATCGTGACCCAATAAAAAAAATATTTCATGAATCAAATCAAAATATAAAATAATATCTCTTTGACAATTGTTTTCTAAAATATTTAGTTTGATGAGATTTGTAAGGTTAGTCGGTCATTTGTTTAAATTAAATTCATTAACAAACTGAAGATTAGTTGCCGTAAAAAAAAATTGTTTTTATAATAATCATGATTTTCAACAATAATATTAAAATAACTATTTTTCCATATTTTTTCAAATGCCCATGTTTTAAATATAAAATAATTATGGTGCACAACTCAAACCAATTAGATTGACGTCCCCATATAATATTTTAGAAGACAAACCAACTAAATTGAGGTTTCCATTAGAGCAAGCCAATCAAATTAAAATATATTCTTTATTTTTCAAAATGAGCATCAATTTATCTAATGTTTCTTTTGTTTGTTTTTTAATTAGTAATAGAATATTATTAGATTAAGACCCACAAATTAAATTTTTTATTAAAATTTAAATATATTAATAATTTTTTTAATGAGTATGATCAGTAATTTTATATCATTATTAATTTATTATGAATTTTAATTGAGATTTATTGAATTATTTAATTTTAAAAAGTTAAATAATATAATAAAATATCACTCATGATTTATATTTTTTTTATTTAATTTTGATTCTCATGTTTTTTTTACTTATCTCTTTTTAAGATATTCAATTTTAAGTTGTTAATGATATGTATTCGTTCTTAGTTTTAAATAAAGTTT